GAGAGTGGGCATGGCCAGGGTCTGGATTCCACAGGCTTGTAGTTGTTTGGGGCCAATGTTTGGAGCCATCAGGTCCATGCCATGCAGGGGTGGTTTATTTCTGCCTGGTGCACAGGGGCAGAATCCATCCCCAAGATGTTTGGGAGTGGGGTTCGAGTGTTCACCATCAAAACTTGTGTTTATTAATTAATTACAAGAACAATAATGGACTCTATGTTTCTCAGCATAGAGTGGTGTAGATAATTCTACATTTCACTGTTGTTGGATGGAACAGTTACAATTGGCTTATGTGCTAGTTAATAAAATCAATAGAATTTGCTAGCTGAACATACTCATGCTGTTGTTTTTATTTGTGAGGTACTAATCTATGTATCTCTATTTCTTCTGTGCAGAATGTTCCATTTAGACCTCTTATCATTGCTGGGGTCAATTTTTGCAGGTTATTTCTCTGAGAAGTTTTCTGTACCATCATTTTCAAATTAATTTTCATTCAATTACACAAATGGCTCCAGTGAATTCTGATGTACTTTATGACATCATGTTCTTCCTTTTCCTCTTCCTTCATTAGAAACTTTTCTTAGATAGCTTGTCTTATTCTGTTTTTCTGCTAAATACTTGAAATTGGTTCCACTTAGAGATCTGTATGGTAAATGAGCTTGATTTGGGCTAGAAGAAATCAGGGAAAGCCAAAATCCAGTGAGAAACACACACCTTTCTGCAACTGTCACATAGATTAAAGTTTGAGTCTTCCACCAGCTTCTGCATGAGGACTTCTCAGCCTTCAACGGTCATGTACAGGTAAGAGTCTTTCCCAAACACATCTACAATTTTCTTGAGTACATTCATAAGAAACTCATAATTGGTTTCATAAATAGTAACTGGGGAAAAAGTTTTCAGAAATGTTTCAACTCCCCAGGCGAGTGCTGTCAAGCCACTAGAGGTAAAATGATAATTGCTGTCCTGGAGGGAAGTGAGGTTACAGAATCACAGAGCTTTTTCTGAGGGTCACGCTGTCTCACTTTCTCAGGAGGGTGGCCGTCATGACCTGAACCCTAAGCCCTCCAGCCTGGCAGAGGGAAAAAATTGGGTGAGCACTTTTAATTTTTGTCTGAAACAGAATCGGAAAGGAAAGTAAGTCCGGGGAAGTTGTGAATTCCTGGGAAAGAGATTCTGGGATAGAAATAGAACCAGTGCCAAGGTAGATACTGGACAGAAATATTTCTTAGCTGTAACCTGAGTTAAAAAAAGGAGCAATGTCTGTGAATTCATGCCAGTTCATGATGGCTCCTAATGTAATCTACTACAACACTCACTGGAAAGCATTGCTGAAAATCCCAGTGATAGTGAAATTTGGTCTGAAAGTGCTTAAGGATGTAGTAATAAAATCCATCTGCTTACAAATCAAGTATTTGTGAATACAAATATAAATCTGTATTTACAAATCAGACTAAAATACCAGTACTATTATTGTAGGTTCATTTATAATGACTTCATATCTGTTATAAAGATTATTATGGAATGTAAGAATCACAGAAACAAGGATGTGAATGTTTGTAGAATAAAAGCTGTTTTTATGTACTCTATAGTTATGACACTATGAGTAGACACAAGAAAAGCGTCTCTACTGAGATATCCATGATTGATAATTGTGAGATTGCTCTTCCTTTTTTAACTTAGGAGCACAACAGTTAAAGGAAAGAGAATATTAAAATTATGAGTGTTTCCCAGGTGTAAGTATTTTATGTCATTTCATCTGATTTAATAATATTTTAATGTTAATCTCAAGCTCATGATTAATTTTCCTTGTTTTAATACATACAAAGCACAAGGCTTCCCACTTCCATATTGTATTTACATGGGTTTCTTATACTTCAATGGCTTCCATAAATCTTCCTTCATTAATAATAGTTTCACTTAATCTATGAATTGGGAAATATTAGAATTTAACTTGAAATAAGTAATGACTTAGTTTTTTTTCAATTTTTATTTTTATTAGTATATATTTACAGTGCACAATAATTATGCCCCTCCTAAGGAGTTGGTACCTGTACAAACCACATCTTAATTCTTTTTTCATCATCTTCCACTCCCTTCCTCCCTCCATCTGTTGGTTCTCTTCCCTTTTGCAAAAGATCTATCTCCTTATTTCTTATGATCTATATTTCATTTTACTTTTTATTTTCAATGTTACACTATTTCATCAAATATTAGTATTTAATGTTTCATAGTTTAGAGACACAGTAGTAGAGTCCAATAATTTTTGGTAGATAACATATTTTTTCTTGGAATGATAAAAATGAGTATTTCTATAGCCAAAGTAAATATCAAGTTACTAATGGATTTATTAATTCCAACTTGGATATGTGACAATTGCATCTAGATTTAACTTAAAAATAGAACACGACATTTTATTAAGATCTCTGAAATTTTATTTGTATATGATATTGCCCCATAGAATAAACCTTTACACCAAAGTGAAAAATTTTGTGACCAAAATGATACACTAAAACGCCAGCAATGTAAATGAAATGTCAAGTTATTAAAGCAAACTGAAGATAGATCTAGATTGTTTGAAAACATAGCTGGCATAGCTTCCGTGTAGCACAGAATGTACGTGACTGTCTTTGCACCCAGCCTAGCCATATTCAAGTGCCTTGAGACTCTTCAAAGTGTAGAATGTGATTTCACTGTTTACAAGGTCTCTCTCTTCTGAAAATACAAATAATGCCATTGTCCACATTGTATAGTTATCAAGTCACAGAAGGTACTGTGTACAAGATCATGAGAGAAATTCATATATGGTTAATACTACTTGCAGTTTATACATCTAACTTTTAAAAGCCTATTAACAAAATAAAAGCTTAAGTAATATTCCTCAGTGAGAATGCTGGATTGGGATTGATAAGAGAAACGCGGCCACACTGCATGTTTCTAGGCAGAATGCCCTAACTCTGGAGACAAATATCAGTTACCAGAGAGGAGAAGAGTGACCACCATGGATTTCACAATCGGAATGGTATGCTTATCTGAGACTATGAAGAGAATCCTGGGCATTCTTTCTTCTTTACCATAATCTAATCCTTTTCTATGTTGATTTCAGGTTGAAGCACATATCCATGACTGTTAAGCACTAAATACAGTCATGTCTCAGGCATTCTCTTTAAAGGTATGTGCAAGACCATGGCTACTTTTAGACTCAAGAATTTCCTCAAAGATTTTCAGTAAAAGGATAGATTCCTTTACCTTCACACAGCTGACAGGCAGTGTTCATTGCCACAATCTTCCTCTTGAGCCTGTCCAGACATTTCAAAAAGCCCCAGGAATTCCAGGTGGGTACAATTTAAAATAAGGCTTCCCAGTACACTGGGTTTTCAGTTGTCCATTCCTGGCCTCTGTGTATTCTGGTGTAATTTTTCTGATGTAAGTGGTTGTCAAGTGTGGCTACAAAAACATCATAAAGAAAGAAGCCTTAAGATTCTGTTCTGCTGAACATTAAGATGCATTCACAACTGACAATGTGAATTCTTGTCATTACAATAATATTCTCAGTTGGAGAAGAACATTTGTGCCTTTTCTAAGTCACTACCCCCAATAGTATAGATCTGTTATGTGTAGGAGTAGACTTGTAAGGACATAAGTTTGTATTTATACTTACATGTAGGAGATTAGGTCACATTTACCTGTTTTATTCTTTATATAAATGGAACCATATAGAAGGGTTCTTTTGTATTTAGCTTTTGTAATCTATAAGATTTATGTGGCTATGCTGATGACATTTACTAGCTTTCATATATAGGAGTACATTCTGTTAATATTGAACCATTAATTCATTTATTCTACTGTGGATGGGCAAGTATGGTGGTCTTCAGTTTGAAGTGGTCATGATTATTATTGGCATACCAATTCTGGAATTTGTCTTTGGAGTTATAAATGGAAATATGCTTGAAGACATATGCATAAGAATGGGATTGCTGGCACGCAAGTTTATTTCTCTTGTCCTTATGAACGTAACAAGATTTTTCCAAAATGTTTAAAAAATATTAATGCTCAGTATAAGAGACTTGTAGCTCATCTACATCTGTGTCAATATCTGCTATTTCCTGCTATTTTAATTTTAGATTTCTAGTTAGCGTGTAAGGATACCAGGTACTGGTTCCAAGAAATACACTGACGTATTTTTGTATCCACTAATGTCATTTATGAAGTTTCAGTTGAAGCATTTTGCCTGTTTTTATCCTTTTTGAGTTTTTAAAGAGTTCTTCACATTGATACTTGTCTCTCTCCTTTTCAACCCTTCTCTTGCCTGTTTTTTTTCCACCCTCACTCATGGTTTCTCTGTGTGTGAATGAGATTTGATGAGAGCAGCTCTAAAATTAGTATCATCAAGTTTGACACTTGGTTAATGTGTTCTATGCTATTTAATAATTTTAATAATAGTTTCATTAATTTGTTTAGTAATTTTAATACCAATAATGATAATAATTTAAATAATAATTTTCTTATATAACACCACACAAAGAATCTTTTGGTCATTTCAGAAATGTCACTACTTGTCTTTAAAATTTACATCAGAAATCCAGTTGGAATTGAATCGCTGTACTGTGCTGATACTGACAGAATTTGTCTCTTTCTTTCCACTATGATTACCAGTTTCTTCTTGAAATGCTGGTTTATGCTTTCTTTCCATTTGCTCTCACTTTTCATTGCTTCTGCCAGGTTAACATTACCTCATCCTGATCCAGATGATTCCAAGAAATAACATACTGATTATCCTTATCAATATGTACATTTAGACGTCTTTGAAAATCCTGCAGGAGCATACAATGAAAGTTGCTCTTGGTGTCAAAAGAAACTCTTTTTTTCTTGTATGTTGCCCAGACTGGCATCAAACTCTTAGGCTCAACCAACCCTTCTACCTCAGCCTGGCTGGACACAAAAATCTGCAGTGAATCCTCTTGCACAGAGGAACAATTGTTGCTATTATTTTTTTTAAAAGGGTGATGAATAAGACAATGTCTTCCATGGATATGGCAATAGGAATAATGCTCTTATCACAGACTACAGTTGGAATTCTTGGTAATTTCTCTCTTCTTTACTATTATCTAGTCCTTTACTATCAAGGGTGCATATTAAGGCCCACAGATTTGATTCTCAAGCACCTGTTTATAGCTAACACCTTTGTCATTCTCTCTCAGGGAGTTCCCCATACAATGTCAGCTTTTGGGTTGAAACATTCCTTCAGTGACTTTGGCTGTAAAGTCATTTTGTATATTCAGAGGGTGGGCAGAGGTGTGTCAGTTGGTACCACCTGCCTCTTGAGTGTCTTCCAGACCATCATGATCAGCCCCATGAACTCCTGTTGGAAAGATCTTAAGGTGAAAGTCCCAAGGTACATTGAATCCTCCATTTCCTTATGCTGGGTCCTGTATGTGGTGATAAGTTTAATTTTTCCTGTGTATATATATGCCAAATGGAATAGCAAAAATATAACAAAGGACAAATATTTTGGATTCTGTTCTACTGCAGGTAGTGACAAAATCACTTACTCAATATATACAGTATTATTTGTATTCCCTGAAGTTTTATTTTCTGTGCTCATAATCTGGGGGAGTGGTTCCATAATTTTCTTTCTCTATAGGCACAAGCAGCAGGTTCAATACATTCGCAGCACTATGGTTTCCCTCAGATCCTCCCCCGAGTCTAGAGCTACACAAAACATCTTTGTCCTGGTGTGCACATTTGTGATTTTTTACACTCTCTCCTCCCTATTATATATTTATGTTGCTTTCACGTATAATCCCAGTGTGTGGGTGATGAACATCAGTGCTCTCCTTTCTGTGTCCTTTCCCACGGTCAGCCCCTTTGTTGTCATGAACCGAGACCCCACTGTACCTAGGCTATGCTTCATCTGGATAAGAAATACAAGAACTTCCTAAGCATAAGCATGCAAATTATATACATTTTCACAATATTCAGTTGTTTTGTATGCATCACCCTCAAAACATGAACACAGAAATATATGAGAGTCACTTGTCTTTGTAAGGTAAACCGTCATTGGCATTGCAATTTCTTTAGCTGTTTAAATGTCAGTTCTACTCGGTACGTAAGATTGAATAAAGCAGATCACTTTTGGCTTCTTGGAGGGCATCCTGTTGATAATAATCCCAATAAATGTTGTTTGAGCAAAATTGAGTGAATTAGGCTCCCGTCATTCAAAGTCAGTTTAGTCACAGTGGTGACCAAGTGTTGTACTTAAAGACAAGTTTACCAGAAACACAATGAAGAAATGAACGGTGGATATTGTTGGAAGACAGTTCTCTGTGGCTTTCTCACATGTGTTGTGTTAGCCGGCTTGCCCATTGCTGGATACAATACATGACACTAGCAACTTGAAAAGAAGTTTAATTTGGCTCCCACTTTAGGAGAATGGAGCTCATGATCAGCTGTTTCCAAGGCAGATCCAGATGGTAGGAGGCATGGCAGAGAAAAGCTGCTCTCCTCGTGGCAGCCGGGAAGCAGAGAGACGGGAAGAGCCAGGGAGGGGGACACACCATCCAAAGGCACACTCTCGGTGACCACTTCTTCCAACCAAGCTTCACCTTCTCACAGCACATTTAGCTATGAACTTTTAAGTCATTAATCAATTGATGAATATCATCTCCTCTGATCCACTCACCTTCCCAAAAGTACCTCCTTTTAAAATGTGAGACTGTTTGGAAAATTATTGATCTAAGCTATAGAATTTATTTGTATCTTGTGGACAGCTTCTGTTCTAGACTGTCTGCTTTGGATATTTGGCACAAAAAGTGTTTTGGAAGATAAAGATAGTATCAACATATGGAATAGTGGACAGAATTGTTTACTGTAAAAGGGAATGCACATAATGTCTTCCTCTCAGGAGAAGGGCATGAGAGCTTTGTTCCAGTTCTTTTAAAAAATTTTTTTAAATTTTTAAAATACTTTTTGGTACTGGAGAATGAACACAGGACCTTGCGCTCGTAAGGCAGGTGTGGTGCCACTGAGCTAAATCCCTGGCCCTCCAGTTCTTTTTGTTTGTTTGTTTGTTTGTTTGGTATCAGGAATCGAAGTCGGGTCCTTGCGCTTGTGCAGCAGGCGGCTGAACCACTGAGCTAAATCCCTGACACCCTCCAGTTCTTTTTAAAAGATTAATTTTTCTATCCTCAGGATCCTCAGTTGTAACAACCTGTCATTGTACATGTAGCATTCACCTAGGCTACTACACACTTTCAGAGTTAGAGTTTTTCTCCAGAAAGGGAAGCTGATACAATCGTAAAGTTCTTGAGGCTTGATGTTACGAGTTACAAAAGCCTTTTTGTCTAATCTGGGAAATTTATGTCTTGTGCCATAATCCGTGAGGGGGTTGAACATAATTACTCAGAGTTTCTGAAAATAACCACAGCTATGATTCAAAACTAGACAGTGAGATAAACAGATTTAAAATTCTCCTAATTACAATAAATTTTATTAACTAGAGCAATGTGTATTCTTGGGAGAACTAAGAGCCTAAAACATAATGAAGAACAGAAGTATCTTGGGCAGGTAAAAATATGGGAAAAATGACAGCCTAATGAAAAGGAGACTGCAGAAGGAGAGGGACAAGATCTGAGAAGCCTTATGGGCTCAGCAGCCTGGAGGGACTTTGGAAGGAAAACTGTCATTATCAGAGAATATTAATTGGTTTACCATAGGCTGCTCTGGTATCTCTCTGCCCTATCTCTCTTATTTATAATGTCTTCTAAAGTCACTGAGTTTTTCTGTGAAAGTAGATGTTTGGGGGAATATTTGAGGGAGCTTGAGTTGTGCATCTTTGCTTATTCAAGGCAAGGACTAATTTCATGGGGAAGGCTAAGTTGCGCATAGAGGAGATTCTGCCACCGTAACCCTCTATTAGGCCATGAAGTGATAGGGTAAAAGCAAAAACTTCAACAGCTAAAACTATACCCGAGTACTGGTTTATGTGTGGAGTAAATCATTTTCCCTTGCGTCTGATAAGAGAAAGGAGATGGCATAAAAAGACCCCAGAGAGGGGAGCAATGGAGCTGCTCTTTGGGGTTTGGAATCTGCTACCCTACACAGTGGAAGATGGGTATGTTCCAAGATCCTCAGTGCACTCTGGAAACTGCAGATAGTACTGAACTCTCTGTATGCAGGAAATGGGGAAGCATATGTCGCCAGAACCTCTGCCATGGGTCCTGGCCTCCTGTGAGCCACTACAGCACAAAGCAAATTAAGGAATAGACAGGAAACAAGACTTAGAGTAAAGAAGCTGGGTCTTGGGACCTGATTAGGGCTGCTCTGGGCAGCAAAGACAAAGGCCCCCAAGCACAGCCAGTATTTATTAAATACAGTTATGGGAAGGAATAAGGAGCTGGGTATGCTTTCAAGGTATCTAGTGAAATACTGCTGAATACCTGGCATGATGGTGCCAGGCAGGGCTGTTAGAGAGTAAGCGCTGCTTTTCTTGCTTGGATAGAACAAATAGATACTGGGACCAGAGCAATTAGCAAGCAACCCATCAGGTCAGTGAGAAGCCATAATTCAGGGGGAAGAATTTTAACTGGGGTCACACTGACCTCAGCTGCACATAACTCATCAGAGTCCTGCCACTTCACAGACCAACCCCTAAGTTCCATGGCAGCCTTTGGGGGAGGGGTTATACTCACCCAGTCTTCTATCTGCCATGCCCATTTGAGTCATGTAGAGCTTCGATCTGACTCCTGATATAAAATAATATAGCTGAATTATGGAAAACAAGAAGCAGGTGCCACTAATATCCCGCTAGTACTGGGCAGGGATGTCTGGTACATCTGTATACTGTATTTTCTTATACATATTACATACATAGGGTACATTTTAATTTGTAAATCAGGCACAGTAAGAGAATAACTGCTGTTATTAGTGGTAAAATGTAACGATAAAAACAATACATAATAAAAGTACTGTGAAATTGCTCCATGTCTCTGGTATTTTCCACATATGATGTGGAACAAGAGGACATGGATAAAGTAAGCCAATCTTGGATAACAATGAACTGTGGCAGATATAGAGTGTAAGAAAAGGAGATGACATCTGAGGTTGGGGTGACAGACATAGAGAGGGATGAGAAAATAAATACAGGAAAAATGAAGGATTTGAGGAAGACAGTGGGTATGAATGAGTTGAAGGGCTGGTCAGAGAAAGGCTAAAGCTATAGAGTTGTAATGTAACTGGGAGAAAGCCTGGTTCATGTAATAGTTAATAAGCCCAACAATTCAAGAGCGGAGTGAAGAAAGAAGAAAGAGTGGTCAAAGAAAGGAAACATGGGAGATTTGCTAACAAAACAGCTTCTCGGCTCCAGGTAGTTGAGCATTACAGACGTAGGATGGGATTCATGAGACAAAGGGAAAAAATACTCATGTCATTCTAAAAATAGGCAGAGGTCTTTCAGGTATTCTGTTCTCACTGCCTTTTTCTCTTTTTCTGGTGTGGTGTTTCTGGTTATGGTACCCTGAAGGTGTTTTTAGCCCAAAGTTTAAGGTCACAAGGAGAGAAACACAGTTTGAAGACAAGATGCCAAATCTTTTTTATCTCACCGGAGTCACCCTATCTGCAGGCCTCATGAAAGTGTTTCTGCAAAATCAGCTTTCAAGTCCTTAAAAGGCAACCTAAGTATCTATTATCATTACAATCCACAATACAGAAATACTATCCACAACAGAGCTCGTGAGAGACTAAACCATATATTGTTACCAATATTTGACACCAAACCGAATCTTTTCTCTCTCTCAGAATTGTGGAAGCAATAATAAGACTGATTTCCAGTTGAACAGTGAAGGAAACTTTAATTTTGGACAAAAATAGGAGAAATGGGAGATAAACTGACAAATCAACTTCTCAACCCAGTGGGAGTTGGGAGATTATCGGGTTAAAGAAACAAGGAGGGAGAGTAGGCTAACAGAATGGGAATATTTATACCTTTTCTAGAAATTATCAGAGATTTTCTGGAATTTGGGACAGCACATGTTCCCCTCCTTTTAGTCCCCATCGGCAATTGTCAACCGTCATGTCCGTGGATTGTGCGCGGTTCAGCCTGCATGTGGCATTCCAGGAGATAAACATTGTGGTCACTTTGGCAACCATTTTAGATCCAGCTGGCATTAGTCAGGCCACTTGAAGGGGACTCTCTGTTCTTCAGGGATCTTGTCTTCAAAGATAAACAAGATTAGGGGAAGTAAACATTTAACAAGGTCAAGAAGGCAATAGAAGATACAGCTGTGTGATGTCGAAAAGTAGTAATTTTTGTATCAACCAAGAGTGGGGGAACCTAGAGAGTTTATTTAGATTTTCCTTGGTGACAATGAGGAATGGATCGGATCGGGGGCATGCATTAGGTCCAGAGAGGATCGAGGATGCCCGGAGGTTGAGCACTGTGGCATTTGAGGGTATGGGGCAGAGGGGACAGGGAATGAGTTCAGATATGGGGGCTGGGATCAGATGCAGGTAATGGGGAAGGAAGACACTGATGATGGCTTTTGCAAAACTGACTGAAGGCGAGGAGGGTGTGACTGGTCCTTGGGATAAGGAACACCAGGATGCACAGCAGAAAGGTGACAGGATGAAGGGGGCACCCCACAGACTAGAAGGGTTAGTGGAAGTGAGAGATGATGGAGGTTTAGTGGCCCAAGAGTGGAAAGACGGAGCAGGTAGCAGGACACTTTGCAGACAGCGACCCTCATGGATCTCCCGAAGCCTTCTCTGACCCCAGAGCTGCTTCTGTGGCAGCAGTACCCTACCTTTTTAGCACTAAAGACTCGTTTACTAGAAGAAACTTTTCCCACGGATTGGGGGTGGGGGCAGCTTTCAGGATGATTCAAAGGAGTGTGCAACCGAGATACTTCACCAGTGCAGTTCGGGTAGGGTTGGCTCTCTTATGAGAATCTAATGCCACCACTGAGGTGACAGGAGGTGGATATCAGGTGGGGATGTGAGCAATGGAGAGCTTCTGTAGGTACAGATGAAGTTTCCCTCCTTACTGAAGATCCATCTTTCCATCTTCTGGATCTTGCTGGAGGGACCTCTGTGAACGCGACGGCTGCCCTTGCTCACAGCCTTCCTCTAGAAACGGCCATTATTAAATGTGCACCGAGAACAGCAACTCAGCTTCTCCAAGATTCAGAATCCAGACCCTGGAAAACCCGACAGGGGGAAGAAAAACAGAACAGAAATAGTTCCTCAGGAACCAAAAAGGAGCATGTAGGAAAATTCAAAGCTACAGAAAAATCGAAGAGACAGAACACAATACAGGGAAGGGGAGAAACTTCTTTACTATTATCCAATCCTCTATTACAAAGAGTGTACATTAAGGTCCACAAATGTGGTGCCCAAGCATCTGTTTATAGAAAACTACTTCTTTTTGGAAGAAATAATGTTTGATAAAATATTTTATATTTATCTTAAAATCTTATATTTCAAGTCTGTTTAGAATGGACATATTAATATATAGTCTGATGTTGATAATGATTGCAGTTTTCCTTTCTCCAGCATAACTAAGATAAATTTCCAGTTTTATGGAAAATATTGGATTTTGCTTTCTTTCTGTATTCTCTCACTTGTCATTTCTCCTTCCAGGTTAACATGGATTCATGCTTGATGATGACTCAGCCCCCAAATACACTGGAAATTCTCTCCATCTCCTCTTATTTCCTTAAAAATTTACACTCCCACAAAAGAAACTACCAAAGTAAATTTTGGCGTCAGTTCTTCAAAATAAGCCTTACTCAGGGGATTGGTCATCACTATAATTTAGAGGAAAATGACAGAATAGCTTTCAAGGATTTGGCCATAAGAATGTTCTTCTTATCCCAGACTATCATAGGAACTCTGAGCAATTTCTTTCTTCTTTACCATTATACTTTATCACAATGAAAAGAGGTTAATGTTTGTAGATTTGATGCCGAGGTACCTATTTATAGCCAACTCCTTAGTAATTCTTTCAAAGGATTTCCCCCAACAATGGTAGCACTTGGGTTGAAATATTTTTGTGAAATGAATTTGACTGAAAACTTGCATGTTGAGACGGGAGGCAATGGTGTGTCAGTTGCTGCAATCTGCCTCTTGATTGTCTTCTACACTACAAAGGTCAGGAACATCAACTCCTGTTCATAGGATCTTAAATTTGGGGGGTCCACTGTACCCCAAGATATCAAATTAGTATATTATTGACATATCTCTATATACATAATTCACAAGAGTTTAGCTACACAAGCAAACTTGGTAGCCATAACACTGATGAATAGTTAAAGAAAATGTGGTATTTGTACACAATTGGGTACTGTGCCATAAAGAAAGGTAAAACTGAGTCATTTGCAGGAAAATGGATGCACTTTGTGACCATAACGTTGAATGAAATAAACCAGACACAAAGTTTAAATATCACATGGTTTCTCTGATATGAGAAACCCAAAATATAAATAAAGAGTAAAATAAAAGATAAATAAGAAAGAGGAAGATAGATCTTTTGTGAAAGGAGAGATGGTGGGAGGGAGGAGGATGAGGAGGGGAGAGGGATGAGAAGAGAATTTACATGAGTTGCGTCCCTGTACTGACTCCCCATGATGGATGTGGACATTATGTGCTGTGGACATGAACTAATAAAATAAAATTTAAAAGGAGAATATTGCCTACAAGCAAGGGTTCAATGAGATTCTTCTGTTTCTCTGCCAGTTTCTCACATAGGACAACTTCTGCTCTTGCCAGGCCTCAGGGATCATGAAAATGTTAACGCCTCTTTCATAACTTTAATGTTTCTTTGGAGATACTTACAAGAAAGTTGTAACTGTCTTTGTTAATGAGCAACTGTGAAAAAAGTTCTTCAGATGTCCTTGTTTCCCCAAGCCTCCAGTGTCACTGCCAACACAGGTGAAGTAGTGATTACAGTTCACAGGGGAGGGGAGATCACGGATACATAAACCTTTATCTCAGGGCCTGCTGCCTCCCTCACCTGCAGTGGTGGCTGTCACGAGCATCACACTGAACCTGACCTCTTCAAGAAGTCAGGTGAGTATTCTGTATCTCAGCTTGACTGGTAGAGTCAGCAAGGAAAGAGTGTGAGTCAGCACTCAGGTCAGGATCAGGTATTCTGGGGCAGAAACAGACTAAGAGCCAAGGGAGACAAGGAGGGAAACAAGGCTTTCATTGTGTGCTCAGCTAGACAGAGGGATGAGGGTCTCAGAACCCATGCCAACTCCTGGTGGCTTCTAAGGTAATTGAAGCTGTACTGTGACTGAGGGTTCGTGAATTATCACCATGATAAAGAAATACAGCTTCATGTGCTTAAGAATCATAGTACTGAAATATGTCTGTTCTTCCTAGAACTTACAGTGAGTGATTTTTAGTACGTGTATCATGCCTTTATGCTAGGCGGAGTAGGATGCCATTATAAGAATTGTCTGTGTGCAGAAAACAGGCGTATGCATTTATTTCTGGAGTCAGAACATGTTTTAAATAATGTAGCCCTGTGTATTGATACACACAGCAGAAAGAGTAGTTGTAAACTCCTGGAGACACCTTGCTCTGATGACATTGGGGATACTGCTTTTTCCTTGAAGTTAGGGAAACACCATTTAATGAAAAATAATTCTGATATTTTGTGTTGCAGATAACAACTGTCAGAATCAAATATATCTTGCATTACTTTTTCTGATTTAAAAAGGTCTATATATCCTTTAAAAATATCTTTCACTGAAGTAAGAGTATGTCTCATGGCATCTATTCTCAATGGTAACCACCATTCCACTCTGTTTCTAAATCCATGTGTAATTTAGGTTACACATATAAAGGAGATCATCTAGTATTTGTCTTTGATTGCATTATTTCACCCAACGTAAGATCCTTGAACTTCATCCATTGGAGAATTTCTTTTTACAGGCTGAATAATATTCTATTGTATGTATATAACACATTGTCTTTATCCATTTCTCCTTCAGTGGAAAGGAAGGTTGCTTCCTCTTATTGGCTATTGTTACTAGTAGCTAAAATGAACGTGGGAGTTCTAGTATCACTGTGTGATCTAGATTTCAATTCTCTTGCATAAATACCCAAAAGGGAGATTGCTGGACCAGCTGGCAGGACTCTCTTCTTTGTGGAACATTCATAATTTTTTCCAGAGTGTCTGTTCCCGAGGACAGTGCATGAGATTCCAATTCTCCACATCTTTTCCACTCTTGTTTCATATCCATTATGAAACCTTTAGTTTTGCTTTGCATTTCCCACACCTTTAGTGGTGTTGAATGTGGTTGTGTATACCTGTTGGCCATGTGTATATCTTTCTTAGAGAAACCTGTATCCAAACGTTTAGCCCACTTTTAACCAGCTACTGGGTTTTTGTTTTGGATTTTTCTGTTGAGCTGCAGAAGTTTATTTCTTTATGATTTCAACATCTACAATTGTTAAAATTTCAGGCTCTCCAGATTCCATTTTACCTATATCTCTTGTATTTTAATGTGTTTCATACATCTTTTTTCCTTGTTGACTGTTGCACTTAACACATACATTAAGAATTGAGTGATGCTAAATACTCAGAAATTAGCAATAAAATAATTTCTAACTTATGATATTTTAATACATTTTAGTTTTATGTGTCATGGTTTAGGAGTAGAGTAATATTACTGAGTAAATTCCTTAATAGATATCCTGCTATTTTTTGTTCTAGAATCTCAGCAAATGAATCTTTCTACTAATAAAATGATGTTGAGCTGATTTTGCATCAATAAATTCATCATTAAATTGTTTATGGAGTGATTTCTTTAGGATTAAAGTATAAAAGTGCATCTATAGTTATGAAGTCCTTAAAGGCTTCATATTCAATTCTGAACTATAAAGTCAATATTTACATAGAAATGCAAACGTTTTATATCAAAATTATTTTAAGTGCTGATGATGTAATATGAAATGACAAGATATAAAAACAAATTACAGTCCTGGGTAATTTGAAAACCTAGGCGGCCTGTTTGTCACTGTGGCATAGCAGTTAGTATCCTGAGCATACCCCTGGCTAGCCTCCTTGGGTTCAAGTCTCCACTCTACCACTAATTTAGGCAGATCACGTAACCTCTTTGCATCTGAGTTCTCTTTGCTTTTCAGGAAAATTATGCAAATCAATATATCATGCCATTAAGAAAATTAATTAAAGTATTGTAAGTACGGCATAACGGCCACAAGTCATGTAGTTCAAGTACAACGTAGATATTATGTATTCAATGATAGAAAGCCTCTTATCAAAACACAAATTTACATAAATTTTTCTCAATGAGAATGTTAGAGTTCAGTTGATATGATCCATGTGCCATGTAGGACACTCTGGTGTGAAGATCCGTGTCACTTACCGAGAACCAGCAAAATAGCCTACAAGAATCTGCAGTAGGCAAGGTGTACTCACCCTAGAATGTGGTTGGAACCCTGGGGAATTTCTTTCTTTGTAACCATTCTGCTTTCCTTTACATAGCTGTTAAAACCCCGAATATAGCAACCTCTTGCTCATTCTGTTTTAAAGTGTCTCCAAGATGCCCCTCTGTACTCAGCACCAGGACACCTGCATGTTTTAGGCTGCAGGATTTCCTCAAGGTCTGGAGGTTCAAGCTTTCCGTCTGTCCTCACAGATTTGCACAGTATGTGCACTGGCATAACCTGTGTCTTGAGTTTCTGGAGCCATGGTGATGAACCCCAGGAAATCCAGAAGTTTAGAATTTAATATAAATTCTCCCCATTATAAATGTTTGCCCATTTTAATCTACTGTACTCTGTATTATTTGTATTTTTCTAGTTGGTGTGTTTGTGATACTTAATAATTACTTTCCTCTTAGGGAATTGATACTTATACATATCACACCTTGGTCCATTTTACTTACCAATTCTTCCCTGGTCCTCCCCTCTACTTCGTTCCCCAGATCTTAGTTTCATCACTTTTTATTATGTTTATGATTGCCAAAGGACACAGCAACATCTCAAGTCAAAAAAAAAAAAAGACTTGGAGTACTATTCTGCTGGATCCCCCAACAAAAATCAGAGTCAAATTACACACCATTAAAAAAACAGAAACAAAAGATGCACAGCATTGCCATAGTTCTAGGAAGTGTCGCACAAATATCCCGTTGGGCATCATCCCCTGCGCCTGTTGCCGTGTGAGTTTCACCCTGTCCAGACACATGTGGCGGGTCACACATATTCTTAGCACTAACATTTCTTCCCGGTAATTATTCTGACTTCTTGGAGTGACATGTATGTGTAAAGAATGAAAGAGTCATTTCAGCTTGTAAGGGCACAGCCCAGTAGAATTTCACAAATGAAACACAGTTCTCTGTGTAACTGATAGACCAAGAAACACAGTATCATCATTTGCCTGAAGCTCCATTCTATCTCCTGTAGGTAGCTAACCTTGAGGTTATAGTTGTTTTGCATATATTTGAGGAGTGGAGCAATAAAATATAGGTTTACATCATTTCTCACATTTAAGGTAGTATATCACTAATGTCTGATACTTTAAATGGACTCAGTGAAATCTTTCATATTTGTCATTTATTTGTCTTTCATGAGAGTTTTGGGAAATTCTTCTTAATTATTGAACATTATCAATGTTATTCATTAGCATTGCTAGGTTTCATTCCAGAGCAAGGATATCAATTAATTGGATTATTATACTGTTAATGAGCATGTGAATCGTTTTGAATTTGGGGCTATTATGAGTGACAACTAGTGCTACTATATAGAATGTGTAGGTTTTGTTTCAGTGATGCATTTATGATTGTTGAGAAGCTTTGTATAAATGAAATTATTACAATGTAAAACGACATTGTAAAAACTTACATTGATGCTGCTGAACAGTTTTCCAAAATACTTGTACCTATCTTACACAAACAAGTTCATGATTTTTCCATTTTCTTACCAAACTTGTTATTTCTTATCATTTTAATTTTAGCATTCTGGATGGTATATGCTGTACCTTATAGTGGTCTTACTTAACCTTTTCTGATTAATGATGATATCAAACACTTTCAGTATATTAATTATGAGGTAAATAACTCTTTTTTATGAAATTTCAGCTGAAATATTTTTCAATTTTTTATTCTCTTGCATAGCCTATAGGAATGCTTTATGATGAATACACGTGTTTCTATCTCTTTTTTCCTGTCACTGTTCTATCTCCATATTCCTCTGTCTTTTATCCCTCACGTTGCATATAACTATGTTCGTGTTTTGATGAAAATAGTTCTTAATTTTAACACAATCTAATTTGTTATTTCATCCATGTGGTTAATGTGTTTTGTTAGAAATAATTTCACATCCTTAGATTAAACAAATAATTTTTTCTAAAATGTTTTATATTTATCTTAAATATTTACAGTAGAAATCCATTCAGGATTAATCTATGATATATATGACTTTGATAATAGTTGAAGTTTTTTTCCCTAGTGCGAATAAGTTAAATTTTTAGTTTTATTGAAAATGTTGGACTTTCATTCTTTCCATATTGTCATCTCTCCTCCCAGGTTAACAACGACTCCTGCTTAGTGATGCCTTAAGCCATAAAATGTGCTGAAAATTCTCTCCATTCTCTTTTTGATTTTTGAAATCTTTCCAATTTCGGAAGAGCACATCATCAAAGTAATTTTTGGTGTCAAATCTCTACAATGAGCCTAGCTCAAAGAAATGATTGCCACCACAGTTTACAGGAAATTTTAGAAGGAAATGACAAAATACCTTCCAGGGATTTGGCAGTAGGAATAATGTTTTTGTCACAGACTATGGTTGGAGTTCTGGGAAATTTTTCTCTTCTTTATCATTATTTTTTTCTTCGCCATGTGAAAAGCAGATTGAGGTCCATAGATTTGATTCTCAAGCACCTGTTTATAGCTAATTCTTTAGTTATTCTTTCAAAAGGACCTTCCCAGACAATGGTAGCCTTTGGGTCAAAACATTTATTCAGTGAATTTAGTTGCAGACTTATCTTATATGTCCTCAGAGTGGGCAGGGCTGTGTCAATTTTTACCACGTGCCTCTTGAGTGTCTTCCAGACTATCATAATCAGCCCCATGGACTCTTGTTGGAAGAATCTTAAAACAAAAGCTCCAAAGTACATTGGATTCTCCATGTCCCTCTGCTGGTTGCTACAAATAGGGGTACATTTCACATTCCCTCTGTATGTGTGGTATGTATCTGGAAAATCAGATAGCAGAAACATCACAAGGAAAAGACATATGGCACTCTGTTCTGTTGTAGATTATGGGACAATCATGGGTTCAGCCTATATTGCATTAGTAGTATTTCCTGAGGTTTCTTTTATTGTGCTCACAATCTGGGCCAGTGGCTCTATGATTTTTGTCCTGTACAGACACAAACAGCAGGTTAAACACATTCATAGCACTAATGTTTCCTCCACATCCTCTGAGTCCAGAGCCACCAAAAGCATCCTTCTCCTGGTGAGCACCTTTGTATCATTTTACATCATCTCCTCAACCTTTCACATTTGTAGTGCTCTTTCTTATAATCTCAGTTGGTGGTTGGTGAGGATTTCTGGCCTAATTTCTGTGTGTTTCCCAACTATCAGCCCCTTTCTGATCATGAGCCAGGATTCCTCTATATCCATGGTCTGGTTTGTATGGATAAGAAACAGAAAAAGTCCTCTTCTTCTCAGAAACATATAGTTGTATTTTACCAGTTCTTTGTGTTGTTTACTCCTCATCTCACTATGAGAGGCAATACAGAAATGTAAGGAGAGACCACATATCTCTCTTAGGTACACTAACAGACCTCAGCTGGTTGAATGTGGGACTTTCATGGGAATAATAGATGTGAATAAAGCAGGTTGGCCCAATTCTGGTGTACAGTGTCCTGTTCACATCAGTCTGAATCAAGCACTTTTTGAGACAAATTAAATGGATTTACTTCTGACTGTTGGGTTGACTGACGAAAGTATTTACTAAGTTTCTTGCTCAAGGAAACATGCTGAAAGTGAATACAGTGAAGAAATGGGTGGCCGGCAAGGTTCAAAGAGAAATTTCTGTGGGTTTTCTGTGTCTTTTCAACAGATCCATATGCTGGTTTTTCTATGGATTGTCTTTTCATGCTTGTTTATGTCAAATAAGAACCGTGGATGATAGGAATAATGTCAATGTCTAGGGTGGATTGATGTTTGCTTACTGTGTAGGGACAGAAGACACTAGCCACAGAACACCAAACCCACAGGACAAGAAGTTTTGAGATATATGGAAAAAATATGCCTGACAACTGTGCAGACCCTCACACTACTTTAAGTGACATTCTATGAGTGATGTAGAATACCTTGAAAAGTAATTGAGAGCATGCATCTTTTAAAGGCTGCTGTAATATGCATGCTCCTCTCCACTATACATATTGGTTGTCAATCTTTTGAAAAATTGATTTTTTTAAACCTTCTTGTACATAACACTGTTGCTTTAGCTAGCTTCTAAATTGTTCCACCACAGTGATGCAGAAACCATTGCCTTTGATCTCTCCATACCTCATAACCAGACTGTTAGTCACGTGGCAGTCTCCAGGGGCTGGGTATCCAGAGAGGACAGAAACAATACATGGATGTGTTGGTGTCCTTGTCTCCCAAAGCTGAAGGAAGGCTTCAAAGACCCAGAATATGAATTTATTCCTTACCAAAAGGAGATATAATCTGAGAGTATTGAAATCTGGAGACTATCAAGGAGACAGACAATGTGGGATTTTCACGTCCCATCCAGAGGGCGAGTCTCTACATCAGACACGAGTGGAGCAGAAAACCTTTGGCATTTTGCCATTTTCCATTTTTGTGAAAAAATGTCAGATGCTGGGTAATTTAGAGAGAAAAGTGTTTTATATATATAACAATTTTGATTTCTCAAGAGAATCCACCAAGGTCAGCTCAGTTTTTGTGAGAGGCCCCTGCTGTACCACAGGATGGCTGATATTACCAAGCAGGGTTGTGTGAAGAGGAAGAAACCACAAGTGAAACAGAAAACTGAGAGGAAGGAAAGCCAGTCTTGCTGTCTCCTAACGAAGCTCCCATGTGAATTAATCAGGGTCCCATAAAAATTCCTTTGATAAAGAAGACGGGTTTTTTTTATAAAGCCGAGTACTACCCAACCATAAAGAATGAGAAACTAGAGACATTTATAGCTAAATGGATGCACATTGAGGCCATACTCTTAAGTGAAATAAATAGGACACAAGTGTAAATACTGAATAGTTTCTCTGCTGTAAGAAACTGAAAGTGTAAATAAGGATCAAAATGTGTAATAGATAATGTGAAATGGGAAGAAAAGGTCCAAAGGGGAAGGGGAAGTGGGAGGCATAGGGGAAAGGAAAGAAGGGAATGGAATAAATATGAGAAAAGGAAAAAGTGGAAATAAAGTCTTTGTAAATAGGGAGGGGTGGAGGGGTTGATGGGAGGGCACAGGAATGGGGAAAAAATAAAAACCAAGATATATTATGTAAAAGTCCAAATTCCCAATGATGAATGTCATCATATTGTATACCTAAAATGTACCAATGAACTTAATGAATAAAAAACCCAAAAAACAAAAAGCACTCCTTTGAATATCTCCAAAGTCAGATTTCCCCCATAACCTAAAGTGTCACAATGGAACCCCATCGTAAACATTTTCTAATGAAACACATTTGGGAGATACACCACACCCAATCCTGAGCATCCTGTGAGCAGGATAATCCACTTCAGTCACAAAGAGGGTAAGTCTTCAAGTGCTAGTTTCCAATCCTGGGACAAAGTACCTGACAAATTGATCTTAAAGGAGGAAAAGTTAATTTTGACACATAGTGTCAGATGTTTTAGACCATAGTCAGTTTGCTCCATTCAGAAGCATCATGGTGGAAGGTTATGGCCGAAGAACATCACAGAAGGGCAAGGAGGAGTAATGGTACTTACATTATGGCCGCCAGGATACAGAAGTTGAGAGAGCCAAAGTGGATGGAACCAGAAATTAGATATACCCTTCAAAGTCATGCTGTCCTATGAGCTACTTCGTCCAACTGGGCTACATTCCTAAAATCCTGTTCAGCTATGAACTCATTAAATGTTGTCATTTTGAATCACGCCACAGTAAAATGGCTATCCAGGTATCCCTGGAGAATGCCAACTTTAATTGCTTTGATTATACTAAGGGATGCTATAGTTTGATAAAATAGTAGCTCTATTTTTAGTTTTTTTGAGGAAACTCCATACTGACTTCCATGGTGCATGTACTAATCTACAATCCCAATTGTCATTGGGATTAGTATAGGAAGATCCTTTCCCCTGCATTCTTACAAGCTGTGATAGTTAATTGTGGTGTCAACAGGAATAAGAAATGCCTAGTGGAGTAGTTTAGCACAGTTTTGGGTGTGTCTGAAGGACCAACCTTCCGAAGAGGGAAGACCCACTCTGGATGTGGGTAGCACCCACTGACAGACTGGTAGCCTGGATGAAATAAAAATGGAAAGAAGGAAGTCTGGCTTTTGCTTCTTCAGAGACGCTCCAGTCTTCACCATTTCCTTTGGGCATTCATGTCCAGGCTCCCAGCACAGAGTCTTTGGCCTTCAAATGCAGACTCTTCAGCCTCATGGTACAGACTTACAGGGGATACTTCAGTGAGCTCCAGGTGTTTAACGTGTGACTGAACCCTCCACTCTCCAGCACACATATGGCGCTTTTGCATTCTTCCAGACCTGATTCTGCAGGCAGCCATTGTAAGCCCACCTTCTAAATCCTTTACTAGAAGTGGCTCTAGAGAATCAGAATTGGAAAGATGGATTTCTTTAATGGGTTTAGTGATTTCCAGAGTTAGCTCTCTAATTTAATGAAACCTAAAGTTGCCATGGTGTCTCCTGATAATGCGATAGTACTGATAGTCCCTGGTGTGACTTGTTTAAAGTAACATGTGATGTAGATCCATTTGATTATCCTAATTCACTTGTGAGATGAAAGGAATTTAGTGATTCTATATACAATACTTTTGAAATTTTTTGACAGAATAGGAAATATAGTGATGTTGGCTTGCTATTCTTAGCTTCTTTGTATAAATTAGTAAAGGAAAATTTGAGCTCCAGACATGCACAAAAAGCATCTAAAATGTTCTAAATGTGAAGACAAATTAGTAAAGGAAAATAAGGAGTTCAAAGATTCAAATTTCCAGCTCCAAACACACATAAAAACCCTCAAATTTCAAAGTGTGTCCTGAAAGAGAATCTTCTCTCCTTTAACAGCAGCGCTGAGATTGCAGAAATCCAGATAAAAGCCCTCATAAATTTTTTTGTATTAAATTCTTTTATTGGTACATTGTAGGTATACAACACAATTACATTTCTCATTGGGAATTGTACCTTTACATAATG